CCCGACCCAAATAATCATCCCCATACCCGAAACCCACAAAAAAAAAACTAAAAACCAACCCAAACCGATTGGGTTAGACGGGTTCAGGCAGGGCATATTTGACAATTGCAATGTGTGGGCCATTTTTTCTAAATGTTAAAAGACTTGGGTTTGGGTAGTTGGGTGGGCTTTTTTCAAGGCTAAAAATTAAGGGTCCGTCGAGGCAGTTGGTCCGCCCTTGGCGACAGGGAGAGTTGCAGTAGCCACGTGAATTATAGTACATGTTTCTATAATATTAATATATACTAAGTTCGATTAAATTAATGAAATAAAATAATTTGATTCGATTAAGAGCCGTAAAGGAATGGGCCAAGAAAGATTCACTTTGTGTACAAGAACTAGCAAAAATATTTGTTTGTTTGGTATGGAATCTATTATCGCCCACTTTCTGATAAGTTTTTCAAAATTATATTATGCTATTTAGTCCCAATCTTATATCGCCGCCACATATGCCATTTGGTCAATTTTTGAAGCATCGTTTTATCTCGATTCTATTCTTAATTCCCCATAGTTGTCAGACTCGACCCGGACAGAGACCCGAGCAGTACATTAGTTCGATGAGTTAGTGGTTCAATCGGCCACCCGTTGGTTCAACTGACGGGTCAATTCATGTCAAATATATTATTAATTATTTTCATTGAACAATAAAATTTTATCATTTTCTACCAATAACTAAATTAACCTCATATTATTTTGTTAATTAAAGATCAATACATATCCCAAATTTCACAAATTCTAAATCATATGTAATTAAATATGCATTTGAAACAATAAAAAGTGTGTTAGTTACTATTTTTTTAAAAAACTACTTTATCTAACAAAGTTCAACAAAATAGCTTCACATGCTATAAGAATATTACCGTTGTTGCACAAAAAAAGGAGAATTTGAAAGCTTCAATTAGATACTGTAATCACACGTCCTATTAACTTCCAGGCTGATAATAGTTAAAAAAGAGAGAATTTTAAACAAGTATCCTCGCTTGCTACATCAGAGAAATGTGTAAGGCCGGCACTGCTGCTCATCACAGAAAGACCACCCCCATTGCAGTAACAAATTACCCATTTTCTTACTTCTATGTAGCTAAAGTTATACATTTGTGAAGTAATTACCAACTTACTTATTTCAATTTTTACCAACAAAAACTTATTACTTAAAAGTAAACTTCTTAGCCAAACATGCTCNACCAACAAAAACTTATTTACTTAAAAGTAAACTTCTTAGCCAAACTCATGATTGCAGCCACAATAATGATGCAAAAATTGTAATTAATACACAAATTCAAAATGGATAATGTTTGATAACTCACGAGACAAGACCAGTAAACCCAATTTACAATCAAAAAGTAAGATGTTAAAATACAATTACATAATAATCAACACATAAATTACTTAAACAAACCATCAAATCTTAAAAAATTTCTTCTGTTTTCCCAAAACAAACCCAAAAACACGTGAAGTTCTAAGGACCCAAAAACCTTCAAGCTGATAATGGAAAACACTTGAAATTTACAAAAAAATAATTAAATAAAAAAATCCAGACTTACATGTTCTTCTTCCTTCAATTACAACTTCAACTTGGAGAAAAGATCCTTGCGACAGAAAGGAGTAGAGGGAGAGTGGGACGGCCGAAGGGCTTTCTCGATTTCTCACGATGAGGGAGGTGAAAAATTGTGGTTTTTATATAATCAGAAGGAACCGGGTCGGTTCATAAGAAATCGGGTTATCGGGTTTCTTAATAAATCGGCGGTTCACAGGTTTTTTAACCGGGTTATATGCTCTTGATACAACAGGAATTAGGTCCGGTTCACCAGTTCCCGGATCGAACTGGTCGGTCCGGTCCGGGTTTAATAACTATACTAGCTCGTAAAGCTTGAAGTTTTGTAGGCCTAGTCATACTTTACATTTTTTAAAACATTGCATATGACGATAAAATATTACAACAGTAATTTATTTTTTTACTAACATGGTAAATTATCCCATAAATATAAACAGCCATTTAGCGTGGACAATTATTAAGTGAGTTTATATATATTAATTGAGTTTCACCACGTTTACTTTTAATTGGCCCAATTAAAAATAAAAATAATATATTTTGGCGTTGTTTGATTTAAAACGTGAAAAACGTACATAAGATTAATAAAAAGCCAATTTTTTCCATCTTATAATAAGAATCTGAAATAACAAATGTTAAAGTTTCAGTAACAATTTTCCACCGTCCATTTTTTCAATATATTATTTTTATAATATTGTGGAAAATTGTAGCATTAGTTCCCAACCTATTGACTTGGTAATAAATGAGTCCCCATTCTATTTTTTCACATGAGCCCTCAAACGTATAATTTTTTTGTTGAGGAACTGCTTGAATTGCTGCAACAATTTGAGTTCACATCATGCAAAATCAAGCATTTGCTTATAAGATCCATATATCATTGAAGTTTTTTCAGAAACTATAACAACTCTAGTCATCAACTTCCATAGGGGGATCCATGGATTAATTAGTCATTAGGGCTTACAATTTTTTTTTTTTTTTTAAAGAGGGCTTTGACAGTACAAGCCAAATGAAATGGGAACATAATGAACCTTACCTTAAATTTGCATACTCAATAAAATAAACAACGAACTTAGACTAGCTATTTTAAGTCCACGGTTTAATAGTTTTTTGTTTTGAAATATGTGTAACATAGCTAGTGGTGAGTTCTTTAAAACTATACCAAGATCCAACGCCGACGATCAAGAAAATGGCTCGAAAATATGCCAAAAGAGGTGATGGTCATAAATTATTAAATTTATTAAATGCGTTTGGTGCAACCATTTTTAAATGATTTTGTGGTTGGAATTAATTGATGAAGACATTAAAAATTGGATTATTTAATGTTATCTGTGTGAAGACATTAAATTGGATAATGTCGTGGGCCATTGAAATTAATTGGATGATTTGAAAAGGTCTCCAATAAAAAGCCCATTTGATGTGAAAAATGATGGTATTGAATAAAAAATTTCACAAGTTTGTACTTGTTTATATTGTAGAACACCTTTAGAATTAGTAATTTGATACAATAGTCCACCTACACCATAGCTAGCCTATGTCTAGTCTATGACTTGCCACTAGTGCTTAAGTCTAGCTTTAACTAGCTGCTCGGGACTTGAAACTCGTGGTGCCTACTACAGCCTGCGCAAGTTGCAAATATTGCATTGAATGTTTTAGAGGCATACTTTGGCCTATACGCATCGTCGCCTTAAGCTTTCGAAATTCAAATATCTTGGTGAGTTGGCATCTGTGTGACACTTACAGTGTAGCGCAAGGTGTCTGCATGGCTAGAGGTGTGATAACTGAATGTGTTCATTCCTATGAGACGAGTGTTCATTGAAGAGTCACGGACCATCGCAAAGGGATGCAATTTGGACCGCACAACTTAAAGTGGTGTGATCTAAGAGCTCAGATTGATCTAGTCAATTAACAGTCCTATACCAAATCAATTCAATATAATTAATTTCTAATTCTCTCTTCTATTTGAATATACTGATCCTTTTATTTTGCTAAAACAAAATTTTTTTCAAAATATTTTCAAAAATAAAATTTCATCTGAGCAATTTTAAATTCGAGTCTATTTCGTTAGAAAATAATTTATTCAACACTTTGATTCAACTTAGAGCGAGTGTACTTTTGAAAAGTGATCCGAGAAAAACTTATATATGGACAGAGCCACTTTAGACCTCCAATCCTATACGGAACTGATTATGCCTATTGGAAAATCAAGATGCCAGTTTATGTACAATCCCTTGATGAAAAAGCTTAGCACTCTGTTATCTATAGATATAAAATACCCAATGTAGTTGAGAGAGAAAGAAGGGGAAGAGGGGGGGTTGGCGGTAGAAGAATGGGCTACTATACGGAACTGATTATGCCTATTGGAAAATCAAGACGCCAGTTTATGTACAATCCATTGATGAAAAAGCTTGGCACTCTGTTATCTATAGATATAAAATACCCAATGTAGTTGAGAGAGAAAGAAGGGGAAGGGAGGGGGGTGGGGTGGCAGAAGAATGGGCTACTATTTTGATTTCATCCGTTGTTTCACGAAGAAGTATCATCTTGATAAGTCCACAATGAAAAGCCGTTTGCACTATTGTTGGTTCTGATCCTTGACAGAAAATGAACCAAACTCAGGCTGCGAAGCTTCGACTCCTTGCCAAAAAGGGCTTCTCGCTCTCGTGCACAGTTGGATAAGCAAAATGTGGGCACCGAAAAAAATTGTTCAATGCGTGCAGTACACCCATGGGCGTGCCGATGCTCACAGCGTGTGGCCTGTCTTGGCTTGGAATCAATTGTTGCTTTTGACCTCCAATCCTATACGGAACTGATTATGCCTATTGGACAATCAAGATGCCAGTTTATGTACAATCCCTTGATGAAAAAGCTTGGCACCCTATTATCTATAGATTTAAAATACCCAATGTAGTTGAGAGTACGCGCCCTTTTTCCATGTAATCCAGTTTTCTGACCTTTTTTTTTTTTTTTGGCAATGAAAATAAATTTCATTACCAGTTGTAAAAAAAAAAAAAAAATCGCTTTAATGGATAATTTTCATCTAAAACGAAATCAAACGAATACTAAACTTTGATTAAAAAATGGTGCAAAAATAGTTTTCGAACAAACTTTTTTTTTTTTTTTGGCAATGGTAACAAAATTCATAACCAA